GTCCCCCCAGAGTTAGTCCCCCACCTTTAGCATCTCTGGGGACCAGGACGCCCTCCTCCCTCCACAGCAGGCCCCTCACCCACGTCAGCCCCACATCCCACCGCCACCCACACCCTCCAGGACCTGCCCATGGGCACCGTCCCCTCCTGTGAACACAGCTGACCTCCAGGAGGAAACCGGAACAGGCCTTTCTTTGGCCTTGTCTTCCTCCGGGCTCACACCTCGGCCACTCCCTTCCTTCCCTGTCAGGGTTCTCGGAGGGAAGCTCAATTCGGAATCTCCGCTGAGATCTCCCCAAACGACAGCCCCTTCTTCAGGCTGGGGCTGCACCACCTGCCGGTCACCGGCTCAGGCAGACCCCCGGTCCCTCCGATTCTCCGCCCGCCAGCTAAACAGTCAGCCAGCTGGTCGACCTTCCCCAGCCCTCGCCCTACAAACTCACAGTCAGCTGCCCCTCCCTCGCAGGGCACATTTACAGACCCCCGAGAGATAATGACGATCATCTGTTCATTAAACAATGAAAACGGAAAATATTCGGTTATTTTAAATTGCCTGTATTTCGCCCAAGTCGTTAGAAGCATCTACTCACCTTGGGCGGAATAATCAGCTTCTCCATCATCGCCCTGATCATACCCGATCCACTCACACATCTAACACAGTTAAAAATCAGGGACCCCCCAAATGAAAGACTGGCTTTTGTTCGTGCACCAACGTTTCACCAAAGTGCAGTCCGTGGGGGAGGATAATTTGCATCAGTGAAAAATAGAAAGTCTTCGATGTCAGGAAAACAAGTGTATCTTGTTACGGTCAAACAGCACGAGTGACTTGAAAATACTAAAACTAGAGTCACAGGGTTTCCGTCCCACTAGGTTAGGAACTAGTTATGGAGACGGCTGAGCCTTGGGACCTGCCTTCCGCCCGGACGCAGGGTCTGGGGCAGCCGAGCCCCCGTCGGCATGGACCCTGCCGATTCCAGGGGACCCTCGTCATGTGGGGCTCCCCCAGCCAACAGCGCCCTGCAGGTGACACTCCTTGTCACCTTTGTGTCCTGGGTGCAGACACAGAGGGTCCCACAGCATATGACCGAATCCTCACATACATAAAGAGAACATGGTGAACAAATAAGATGGATGTTCACCTAAAAAGGAGAACTTCGAAAGTCCTCTAAGTGCGAAGTATGAGTGGCCCTCAAAGATATACTGACGGCTGGGCTCCAGCCCCCTGCGTAAGTAAGCCGGCATCTCAACTAAGCAAGTCCAAACCTTTCTGACGGTGGGGGGTCTTGCCTTCAATCCGTAAAAAAAGCAACATCAGGGGGCGCGATGAAGTGGGGTGCGTCTGTACCGTAAATGCAGGGCTCTGTGTCTCCCCAACCAGACAGAAGCCATTTGTAAACAGCAACACCCATCTGGCCAACCCCAAGGGGCCAGCGACCCCTTTCCCTTCCATTTCTGAGTCATCAGCCCTGGGAGACGGGGTGCGCTCTGCACATCTAAGCAGGAAAAGCAGCTCCTGCCCATCACCCCGGGGGCGGGCATGGGAAGTAGCATCAGCATTGGGAGTTGGCGGGGCTGTCACTGCAGAGACGCGCCCTCGAGGTGTGTCTATGCTTGTTACATAGTGACGCAAGGATGAATGTGTCCTCCAGGGATGCTGGGGGGTGGGGGGCGGCAACACACCCACCCCCAGATTCACACAGACCAGCCACACTTGTTTGTATTCTCCACGTCCACGGACGCGTTTGTCTAAGGGAAGACACAGCTTGAAAACTACTGGAGCAGAGGGAACAAATGACCCTTTATTGAGCACTTACTATGTGCTGGGTCATTTTAAAACGCCAGAAGAGCCCAGCCGGTGTGGCTCAGTGGTTGAGCGTCGACCCACTCACCTAGAGGTCGCTGGTTCGATTCCCGGTCAGGGCACATGCCCAGGTTGTGGGCCTGATCCCCAGTGGGGGGCGTGCAGGAGGCGGCCCATTGCTGTTCTCTCTCATCGATGTTTCCATCTCTCTCTCCCTTCCTCTCTCTCTAATATATCAATAAAGAAAAACATCTTTTAAATAAATAAATAAAACGCTAGAAGAGTGTCATTTAACCTCTACCACATCTTTATGAGATAGAGAACAGTTACTTAGAGAGGTTCGCAGAGGGAAGCTCTGACATCCAACAAGAGGAGCCATGAGGTGACCCCAAAACCACGTTCCCGTGTCATCCTCCTCCAGAGACCTTTGTCACTCCCCCCCCTGCACCTGAGTGTGCTCCCGGCTCTGTCATTCACAGAGTCATTAAATCACTACTGTTCGGTGCGAAAGAACCTGCGTCGATTTGTTCCTTCCTCACCCTGTGAACTCATCAAAGATTCATGGATCGAGCATCTCGCAGATGCCTGGGACTCGGCAAGGTTTCGGAGACACATGACCACGGCACGGCGTCCGTCCTCAAGGGCTCAGACGGGCGAGACACGGGGGCCAGTGAGGAGGGTACTAGAATCAGTGCCACGGATGCCTGTGCTGGGCACGGCGGGAGCACGGATGTCCCGGGGAGAGAGAACGAGGCGCCACTGTCCTCGTCACCACTAGGTTGCGATGGCCTCTCTGGCCGACATGCTTTCTGAGGTCACGCTGGGAGAGACCTCAGTGCCCCAGGTCTCTCATGCTTCTGGGAAAGGACTCAGACACCAGAATGCGTCCTCGCCCTGTCTTCTCTTCAGTCCTGCCTGCAGACAGAGCTATTTCAGGAGCCATCTGTCCTTGTCCTTGAAGAATGTCTGACTTGAAAGGCTCGGAGACGTTTAAAAAATAAACCGCCCCTTAAACGCAATTCGATCCGTTGCCTTGCCTCTGAGATGTTCCGCCCGCTGCTGAGTCAAAGAAAACATTGTTCCGCTCGGCCTCTGGCTCAGCCGAGCCCTCTGGAGTTCGGGGGGACAGGGAAAGTGACCGGCGCCCCTAAGCCGAGTCCTTTCTCACCCAGTCACCATGGTCGCTAGGAGCGGTGTCAGCCGGGCTGACGTCCCAGCAGCAAGGGCCGGCCCGGCTCTGTCCGGGATCACCTCGAACCAGCCTTTCTCTCCGCATTTCCAACCTCCTCGAGCAATTCAACTTCGTTTCGTTTGAAACGCTGGCCTCCCCGAATCTGAACAGTGAGAATACTGTCAGGGGAACGAGCCGCCGAGCAGAGACACAGCCCAGGAACACCCGCGGCGACCAACACGTGCCAGCCCAGCGGATCGAACGTGACGCACGAACACAGACGTGGGAGCGAGTGTGAAACGCCGGATCCCCGGCTCCGGAACCGTGTGCGGCGGAAATGACTCCAAGGGAGAGAAGCGTATGGAAAAAGCTTTCTTGCAAAATGCCCTGTGAGAGCAGCCAACGGAGGCCTGGCGGGTAAATGACGGCTATTAAACATGATCATTACGGAGCCTGAGTAACAGCGTGGAAATGTCACCGGGACGTGTCAACTTAAAAATAACATGATTGCACCTGTAATCTGACGGCAAATGTGGACTCCGTCTCCAGCCCTGGGCTGAGGTGAGGAGGTTATCTGGGGAGAGGGGACATATTTGCACTTATATTTTTTCATATATTATAGTAACATACTTAATAACTTATTAAAATATACGTAACATATCACTTACGATTTTAACCATTGTTAGCGTGCAATTCAGCGGTACTAAGTACATTCCCATCGTCGTACAACCATCCCCCATCCCTTACAGCTCCAGAACTTTCCACGGCCCCAAAGTGAACTCCATACATGCCCTCTGCACTCTGACTCCCTTTCCCGCCAGCCCGGCCTCCGCCATCTGCTTCGTGTCTGTGAATCTGCCTGTTGTGCCCTCGGATCACATCTGTCCTTTGGTGACTGGCTTGTAGCACTGCACACGATGTCCTCAAGGTTCGTCCGTGTCTAAGCAGGTGTCAGAATTCCCTCCTTCAGCTGGACCCTATGCCCTATGTATGGACCATGCCACGGATCACTGTCACGTCACCTGCCACGGCCCAGCCCTGCCGCAGCTGGACTCAGGAAGGGCTTCCGTCCCGCTCTCGGGCCTCACGCGGGCCCATCCCCCACTTCACAACTTCTCTGTAACCCCTCGATTGGGAACCCGCCTCGGCCCCCACCCCCAGAGTCTGGCACCTTCTCACCCAGGACAGGGGCCCCCAAGCCCCCAGAGTCTGGCACCTTCTCACCCAGGACAGGGGCCCCCACCCCCAGAGTCTGACACCTTCTCGCCCAGGACAGGGGCCCCCACCCCCAGAGTCTGGCACCTTCTCACCCAGGACAGGGGCCCCCACCCCCAGAGTCTGGCACCTTCTCACCCGGGACAGGGGCCTCCACCCCCAGAGTCTGGCACCTTCTCACCCAGGACAGGGGCCCCCACCCCCCGAGTCTGGAAGAGGCCCTGCTACTGGTGCTCACTGTCGTCCGGGGTTCCTGCCCCGGGCTGTCCTCGGGCCACCAGACAGGGCACCAACGACGGGCCACGGACCCAGGGTGGAGCCACCTGCCTGAACAGCATTGTTTTGACTCTACCTTTGTCCACTCAGCCTAACCCACTGATGGATCCTTTTCCCTGTCTCTGTAAGGTGGAGGGTGTCATTCTAAGAGATGCATCACCTTCCCCGGGAGACTTGAGTCAACAGTACACCCAGCCCCCTGCCCACATTCCAACATTCTTCCCTTTATCTCTGCCCATCACCCGACTCCCCTCTGCCCATCACCTGACTCCCCTCTGCCCATCACCCGACTCCCCTCTGCCCATCACCTGACTCCCCTCTGCCCATCACCTGACTCCCCTCTGCCCATCACTTGACACCTGTCTGCCCATCACCCGACACCTGTCTGCCCATCACCCGACACCTGTCTTGCCCATCACCTGACTCCTCTCTGCCCATCACCTGACAACTCCCTGCAACTGCCTCATCTCTGTCCAAACCCTAGAACACCAGGCCCAGGGCACAGAGCCCACAGAAGCACAAGTGCGGCCGGACTTACAGCCAGAGCGAGTTCCTCCCCTGGGTGATGACCCCCGTGAACCGGGTCAGACGTCTGGCGTCCACTTCGATCCACTGATGGAGGTCGTTTCTCCCCGCGCACCACGCCCCGTCGTAGAAGTCATTCTCGTTGACGCCTGCCTGCAAGGAAACAGGTGTTCTTCAGAAAGACCTGGAACCAACGGAAATCGAGATAAATCTTTTCTAAGGGGGCGGGGGGAGAGAATGAGAAAGGAGATTTTAAAAAGTACATTGTGCCCTGGGCCTGTCTGAATCAGCGGTTAGAGCGTCGGCCCACGGACCGATGAGTCACGAGTTCAAGTCCTGTCAAGGACATGTCCTCGGTTGCGGTTCGTCCCCAGCCCTGGTCAGGTCGTGCGGGAGGCAGCCAGTCGATGTGTCCCTCTCACATTAATGTTTCTCTCTCCCTCCCTCCCTCCCACTCTATCTGAAGATAAATAGGAAAGTATCCTCCAGTGAGAATTAAAAAAAAAGGCACACTGTGCCCTGAACTCCTCATTCTGAGTCAGTCAAGGGAGCTGCTGCCTGTTAAACCTTCTCTGCAGGACAGGTCCTCTCCTCACCCGCAGGGAAGATGGAGTTTAACGAGCTTCCCTATTACTCATCCACCCGACTGCCGCAGAACATCTCTGTGTACCAGCCCCACACGCCAGTGCCGAGGACACGAGGTGACCGTCCCCTCCGGAGGCTCCGCGTCCAGGCAGGAGGGAGCCTGGGGTCAGCACGCACGGGGCCTGTGCCCTCTCGGGGGCGGCGCCGACGCCAGGAGCATGCAGCCCACTCCCCGAACTTGGTCTGGGGGCGGGCAGAGAGCCTCGAGGCACAGGGGGCGTCCCCCAGTGATATTTATTCATTAGCACGAGTCCCTGAAGGGGCTGTGAGCTACGGTCGCTTCCACAGTCCTTTGATCTGAGTCTCCAAGGTCGGCGAGGTTTCTGGTTTGGAATTTCCTTCTGCGTTCACCATGTGGAGAGAGAACCCCCAACCTGAAAGGAAAGAGGGAGGGTTTCCGGAACGTGCTGGCTTCCTCAGACCCTGTCTGCACGAACCCCGTTTCCCACGGCTGGGTCGCGAGAACGTGACCAGGTGGGACAAGGCCTGGCTGATACGTGAGAGAGGAGAGGCCAGCCCGTCTTCCCCTCCTCCCAGCGCCGTTCAGCCCAAATCCTGCGAAGCCGTTCTCTTCCCGGTGAGGTGACAATCTGGCCACCGCAGAGGAGCAAGGTGACCAAGGGCTCCATTGGCCGAACTCTCCCTGTCACCGCACCTGTGACGTCCACCGGCATCAGGACCAAACCTCAGTGCGCCACCCCCTGTCCTCCTCGTGCCCATCTCAACAGAGCTTTGGGGCGCATGTCAGAATGCTGACGTGTCCCAGTCTTCGGAGAACATGACCGTCCACACCGAGGTCAATCAGGCAGCTCTTAGTCAGCATCCTCCGGACCCAATGGACCGGCACCTCGGGTTCCGATGGCACACGGGGTGTCTGTGATGAGGACCTCGAGGTGCTGCAGGCTCTGCCTTCTAGAACATCAGAGAAAGACTCATTCTTGCAAGCGTGTGTTGCCGGTTCTTGACGCTAGCGCGTTTTGTCAACGTGGTGGTGACGCCGCCAAGCAAGACCTCGCATTTCCCGACACTGCCCGTCCAGGGCTCACGGCCCAGCCTGCGGGAAGGCGGCAGTGGCTCGGTCGCTCCCTTTCTTCGTCGGGGGCTGTCTTCGTGCCAGCGGCGAGCCTGCACCACATTCGTGACCGGCAACACCCCGGCACCTTCCGCCAGGAGACCGGCTGCGGACTCGTTTCTGTGGCTGCTCCTCTCCTCACGACAGCGTGACACGGCGGCCCGAACAGCTCCAGGCGGTCACCGGGGTGACCAGGAGGTAAGGGCGAGCACGGCGGTCCTGCCTCCCTGCACTTAGACTGGCACAACTGACGCCTCCCCGGGCAGCGTGAGCCTGTCTTGGCACCACCGCCCAGTGTGCTGGTCACCATCGTGTGCGCTGCCGTCCCCTGCCGGGGGGGACGCCTGCCTTTGCACGGACACACTGTAAACTCAGACGATCGGCCCAAACGCTCGGTGCCTGGTGTCCCCAGCCGCTGAGGTGGGGACAATGATCACGTCGCCCTGAGGGGTTCACTGTGCTCACGACAGGGCCCAGCACACAGCAGGAGCTCATCATCAACAACAGAAAGTGCTCAGCAAAGGTCAGTGAACAGGAGACTCAACACCACGACCGGCAGACCGTGGAAATGTTGGCTCACGTCTGTGAGAGTCTCGGGGTCACGGTACCGTTCGGTTCATCGCTGCCGCACTTCTCCCACTTCGAATATCAGGACAGAGGCACGGACTCTGAAAAGAGAAGACCCGTAGCGAGAAGTTTTCACCGGGGGCCCTCGCTGCCCCCAGAGGGCATGTGTCGCCGTCCAAGCCGTTTGGGGCTGCCACAGGTGGGCGAGGTGTGTGCCCTGCAGCCAATGGATCAAGGCCAGGGATGCTGCTAACCTCTCCAGTGCGCGGGACGGCCCCGCCCAGGGACTGCTCACGCGAAATGCCCAGCGTGCCAAGGCTGAGGGCGCCTGGTCATGGGCCGGGCAGAGGAGAGCAGAATAGTTGTGTAGCCCCGGGGCTTGCCCCTCGAGACCTCAGGGCTTGGAGGGACGGCCCTCCTGGCATCCGGCCAGTCTACGGTGACCTGGAATCAAATGGAAGGTTCCTGGTTTGCCAACCTGGATATTTTGTTTCTGTTGCTCAATCTCAGCCTTGCTGAGCTCACTAGACAGTCAGGTAAATGTAGTCAGGTGTCAGGGACTGGAGAGTCCTTCCTGAACTAACACCAGTGCCGCGACGCCATGATGAATGGCACTTGTACGATGGCTCCAAGAAACCAACGGAGGGTGCATTCCTCCCTGTTCACCGATGCAGAGAAATCCTTCATACGTTCTGGAGAAATCTCAATCAGAAGTCGTTGCAATAAAAGGTTTAATTCCCTTAGGATAATAGTTTCCAGGTCCCTCCATGTCGTCTCAAAGGATAAGAGATCTTTCTTTCTCACAGCTGCATAGTACTCCATTGTGTACATGTACCAGGCTTTTTTATCCATTCGTCTACTGATGGACACTTGGGCTGTTTCCAGATCTTAGCTTGTAAATAGTGCTGCTACGAATATAGGGGTACATATATTCTTTCTGATTGGTGTTTCAGGCTTCTTAGGGTATATTCCTAGAGGTACAATCACTGGGTCAATGATCTCACTTATTTGTGGAATATAATGAACATAACAGTCTGAGGAACGGGGTAGTCCCAGAGATGTGGAAGTGGGGTACAGACTGACAATCCCCAGAAGTGGGGGTAGTGGGGGAGAGATAAACCACAGAACTTATATGCATGTGTGCATGAACAATGGACATGGACAACAAAGCTGGGGACAGGGCGGGGAGGGAGAGGGAGGGGGAATCAGTGGGGGAAAAAGAAGAAACATCTGTAACAAAAATAAATAAATTAATTTTTTAAAAAAAGGTTTAATTCCTTAAAGGACAAGCTAGTCTTGAAAACTCCACTACACAAAATGACTATTTGCACAATACCAAATAAATGAAGAATTGATGCAATTTTCTCAAGGAAATTAGGTTATAATGTACCATTACTGCACCTTAAAAAAAAAAAAAAAAAAAAACACCAGTGCCTCGAACTGACTAAATTTTGCTTCGGATAAATGTATTAAAGCCATAACAAAGAGAAACCCGATACTCTCCATTTAAGAGCAGACAGGACTTTTCCGTTTCAAGGTGATGGAGTAAATATGCTGGTTTTCCTGTGTTCTTCTCTCAAAAATATCCCCACACAAAGAAAACACGATAAACCTTGATCTCTGACGAGACTAGAAGACATTTATAACCCCAGCTGCAAACACCTGAGACAGAAGTCGATGGCGGAATCCTGAATGACTCAGCAAGAGGGGGAAATGCTACCTTACAAGAGGCAGAGCCTTAAAAAGCTCGAAAACTAGATTCTCAGGTCCCTTGGGAGGCGGCGATGAGGCTAACTACGGGGAACTTATTAAAAATGTATATTTAAAAAACAACAGATTCTCATGTCCCCACTCCCACTCCAGAGAAGATCTGATTTTTTTCTCTAAAATAGAAAAGCAAGCCACAGAATTCTCTGGGCTCAGACACAGAGCAGGGCAGGGCAAGGACACAGTAAGAACAGAGCACTCAGTGGGGGTCAGCACACTGGGCAATGCGATGCCCCAGCTCCCCTTCTCCATCCAACTCCAGACACAGTGGTGCCAGGCCTAGAACAAACAAAAAAGAAACTAAAAATATAATGGAGAACAGGTGAAAACCCTTAAAATAACTACATTGTTATCCCTGGAGAGAGAACATCTTGCTTGCATGAGACAAGAACAGTCTCAGAAAGAATAAGATACTGCACAAGAAAGAGCTCTTAGAATGTAAACATGCCAATGACAATAGACAGTAAGAGAAAAATGAGACGAGTAGGGGAAGAAGCTCAGAAGATTTTTTAGGGGAAGAAATTATTTGAAAAATGCTATAAGATAATGGACCAGATCTGTAGGTCCCAAGTCTCCAAAACACTAAGAATCTAGTACAATGAATAAAACAAGTCCCGCAGCAAGGCATATCATTGTAAAACTCTACCACATTGGAGATAAAGAGGAGGTTCTAAAAGCTTCTAAAGAGAAAAACTACTAATAACACAAATACAGAAAACAAAGCAAAGGAATAAAAATGGCGCCAGAATCCCCAAGGGCGACATCCAGAGCTAGAAGAACGGACGGATAAGGACTTAATTCTGAAGGGAAAGACGTTTCATCCTGGAATTTTATACCCAGCCGAACTATCACGCAATTGTGATAGTAAAATAAAAGCATGTTCGTATTCAAAGAGCCTCAAAATGTCTCTCTCGTGCACCATTTCCAGGAAGTTCCTCTAGGATGTGCTTCCCGCACAAAAAGAAGCAGAACACCAAAAAGAGGAAGCTGTCAGATCCAGAAATCAAGGGTTCCAGCGTTGGAGAGCATGCTCAGGACGATGGTGACGGAAGGCCCAGGACAGTCTCTGTGAAGAAGACCCAGCAAGCAACCCATTCAGGAT